AACAACTAAATACCATTAAACTTTTACTATCATTTTAAGCTAGGCAGATTTCTTAGATAAGCATAATGCATTAAAGAAAAAGTTGGTAAAGTGAACTTTAAGAATTTAGAATTTCTGCTTTTCTAAAAGCTGTTAAGAGAATAAAGGACAAACCTCAGACCGGGAGGAGATATTTATAAAGCACATGTCTGGTAAAGGTCTGTATCCAGATCATACATATTAACATCTGGTTAGAAATAGGAAAAAACAAACTGGGTTATTTTCATATTCGCCAAGAGAAAACGTGGGATTTTGTCCATTAGTGAGTGTGAATATATGGGTAACACCATATATAAGTGTTGGTAGGTTCTTGGACCCACAGTGAAACGACATATAGCAAAACGTTTTATCATAGGCTAATTTCCCACGGCATCTCATCAATCTTACAATGAAGACATCATTCAAAACCCCATTGCACTTGTGATGGAACTTGCATATTTGTAAGGGAAACCTTTGTTTCTAGAAATGTCACCTAAAAATCTAACACACTAAAACTGGCATGAATGTTTACTACTCCAATACTTAAAACTTGCAAAAATCATTCTTGACAACAGGGACTGGTTAAATAACAATAATCCATAAATGTGAGGCTAGAAGACAAGAAAATCTTGCTTAAAGAAAATATTTGATATAGGAACTGCTTAAAATACAGTTGTGGAGCAACAGGACATTAAACTGTATGCACAAGTCCATTTTCCATTAAAAATGTATACTCACAGAATAAAAAAATATGCAATCATGAATGGGTTTCTGAATTAAATTACTGATGGGTTTTAAAAAATATATTTTATTGATTTTTTTACAGAGAGGAAGGGAGACGGATAACTAGAAACATAGATGAGAGAAATATCAACCAGCTGTCTCCTGCACATCCCCCACCGATGATGTGCCTGCAACCAAGGTACATGCCCTTGACAGAATTGAACCTGGGACCTTTCAGTCTGCAGGCCAAAGCTCTATCACCGATCCAAACCAGTTTCGGCAATGATTTTTTTTTCTACTTTATAAACATATATTCAGACCACATTAAGTTTTAAAAGAAATCAATATTCTTAAGTTATAAATAAGGAACATGAAATTCTTTTTATAAGGAGAAAGCTAATAAGGATCTGATTTCGCAAAGGGGTGGGCAGACTGAGTAACCTCTGATTGAAAGGGCAGCCCCAAACTCTTCCAATTTCATTTTTGCTGCTTCTGCATTAAAAATATTGACATCATATTGACATTTGGGTTCTCCTTCCATTACTGGGCCTTCAAGTTCTCACTCTGGGGTCGTGTTAGTTGGGCATAAATGTTTTGGACTTTATTTGGCTCCCAATTTTCTTTTTAATTATGAAGTTCTTCCAGGAAACATGTTCTCAGTATCTGGTAAAAGCTGTTGAAAACTGTTGCCCCCTAGTGGGCAAGTCCTCAAATAACTTGTTGCTGTTCACAATGGTAATTAACAGGTGTAAAACATAAAAACTACAAACATTAGCTTTTCCCTTATGTCAGTTTAGCTTTCCAAATTCCTTTCGGAGGAAACGAATCTTTTAGTGCCTTGTTAGAGACTGCGTTAGGAGGGCCTTTAATGTTACCAGTAGCCCTGCGTACGAATCCATGCGCCAGTAGCTCTCTGCAGGGTCTGGCCGCTCCATGCCCGCTTCCCAGAGACTCTCCGTGGCCCAAAGGCCCATTCCCGGCTGGGGGCAGAACGCTTGCCTTGTCTCAGCACTCCCTAAGCCCCCAATTGGGGGACTCTGGGCGGGGCTGAGGACTGGGTGCCACCATTTTTGCGATGGAATGATAGCTAATTCACATATTACCCTTTTATTAGATAGGATTTACCCATTTAAGCCAGTAAAGTGGGTGTATCTTAATTTTCATAGGTCACAAAGTCTAATACCACTATGCAATGAAATGTCAAGTAGAGAAAATTCAATTGATCATTACACTTAAAATATCTCCAGCATCTGAGAACACCCCACAACTTTGTAAATGCATCAAACATTTGAGTTATACTAAACTGAGTTTATAATGTCTTGACTTCATACGCATAATTACAGAATGAGGCAGGATCAGTTTCCAAAGCTTTGGGGGTGGGGCGTGTAAAAAACATTTTTAACCATGGTAACACATACACAATTAAATCATCAACCTTCTGAACAGATACCTACAATAGTATGCTCCCAAATACTAAAGAAAAAGGAGTTGAATCTGGATTGCTTTACAAGCATCTTTTCTTTGGGGGGGTAGAGGGAAAACTTGATTTTGTTCTTTCTAAAGTGCACATTACTATTTCCACTTGAATTTATATAGAATAAAGCACACTGAAGCAATGTTTCCTAAAAATACCTTTGTCAGTATTTTCTTTCACATTTAATTTCCTATGAAAAACAATACTTATTTCTAGTTTTCTTTAGAAATAACTGTAAACAGAAAAATCCTCACTTAATTTGAAAGGAAAAGTGTATTTCTTTTATTCCAAGACTAATAGCTTCACAAAAAAAGATTAATATCCAGTAATTATATAAAAATGTATTGATATACAGACTTATAAAGTAACTAATGCCCAGCCACTAAATAAAAGATCAAAGGAGATTAACAGAATGAGTTTTTTTCATATTATAATTTTAAAAAAAGGTTACGACAAAAGTAGAATATGTATGTTTGTAGGTATCAAGAGAATAGAATACAAGCAAGTTGACAAGACTAAGTTTATTCTAAGTATATAATTTTTATTAATAAAAAGATTAACCATGACCAGGAGTGGCTGGGCTTATAGTTTGCTACACCAAAGAAATTAAAAATTGATAGTTAAGAATATTGTTACAATAATTTATAATATAGCATTCCTTTATAGAGGCATTTTAATTTTAGCAATGTTAAATATAAAAAAACTAACCTTTAGTGTCATGAATGAGAATCATTAGAACTACTGCTAAATTTAAAAAATTCCAAGAGCTGTTTTGACGTTTTATCTCAAGATCTACACCCAAACTTTAGGGAAACAATCTTCCAAAAAGATCTGGAAAATTGCATGCTCAGAAATAGAGTATCAGTGTTTGATACTGGTGGCAGGAGAATAGCCCACTTCCAAGTGTGAAAAACCAGCAACACAAATTATGAATGCACCCAAGATCCCCAAATAAATTAGTAAAAGTGCCATTATTTTAAGAATGATCAGACATATAATCAATGTATTTAAATACACATTCAAATTTGTTAAGTCCAAAAGATACAGTAACTTTATTACATAAAATTCCTCCTGTGTGCTAAAAATGTTAACTTACAAGACATAATATTTAAATAAGTGTAGAGGGAGTTATGGTCAAATTGCTTAATCGTTTTTCATTGATGAGAATAGAACAATAGGTAGTGGACATATATAGAAGCACTGAGTCCTCCAAAATTCAAGGTTATATTACTGCTCAAGCAAAGCATACTACTATTCTTTAATAATATAAATGCCTACTCAATTTATCTTTTAAAAATAAAGTCCATTTGTTCTCCATTAAAGCTTCTGCAAGATTGACAAAGGTACATTCTACCTATATAAAATAGGGGTACTCTTCATCTTTGGATAGGTATCACCACTTAGGGAAATGTAGTCATACACAGATTACTAAACTTTTGAGGCAGCTGTTGGAGACCATTAAGCACTTTTCGAACACTGTAACTTTAAAGTTTGTCTTTAATATTAATAGCTTTGGAAAACCAAAAATAGAGAAAAAAACATCTGTGACAAAGTACATTTCATTCAGATTTTATATCAGTAAGACACAAAAAAAATATTTAGTGCAATGTCAATTTTATCTACGATAATCACTTGATAGTTTTGTGTTGTTTTATGATTGAATGTCAAAAAAGGTTTTTACTTGTTAAGTCTTTGTCTTAGTATTTATAAGGCAAAAATAAAATTAAGTACTGTAAAAAGTCTTTTAAAATGAAACTACAAATTTGGTTCCTATTTACAATTTCATTAACAGATAAGTGTAGATACAACAGATCTAATACCCTTAAAACCACAGTAAAAAAAAAAAAATCTCTGATAGCATTTATAGGCTGTGAAATCCTTAGTAATATCAATATATATCCAAAACATGTTCATACAGAACAAATACCTCGCTGACTCCTTGTAAAAGAACACTTGTTAAAAAAATAATTAACAAAAATACCAAAACAATGAAAAGTCATTTCATTTCGCCCAAAAGTTATGACACAAAATACTGGCTTAAAGAGGTAGATTAAAAAGAAAAAGAAAACCAGATTCACCATTCTTTGTCACTTTTATTCAGTAGTAGTTTTTTTTCCCTTATTTTCAGTGCCAGACACGGCAAGGAGTGATTACAGCCAACTGTCATTAAAACATTTGTTCGCAATATATACCCCCCTTTACCACTGACCCCAAACTGACTCATTTTGTGTGCTTGCGTTCTTTCTTTTTTTAATATACCACCACCAAGACTGGGTGGAGGGGCAAGGTAAGAGACATGAAGGGAAGAGTCCAGGAGGCCAGAAGAGGAGGAATGCTACAAGCCACAGTAAGAATGAGCTGTATTTAATTTAAAAAAGGGTGGCGGGGTGTACCCCACAAATGATACAGTAATGAGGATACACAATTAAATCCCATAAGCATGACTGAGGCTTTCACTGTGTTTGAAGTCATCACAATGGAAGGCATAAAAAGTGGAGTAAATCAATGTTGACACAGTCCAATCTAGTCCATTAGGCAAGATGGTGCAAGAAGTCATTTAAATTAAAAGTGCCCTATCCTTACCTAAATGGCTAGCAGACATGGAGAACACCACAGTGATGAACCCACAGAGCTTTCTCCATGTAGCTATAAAAAAGTGTTGTCGAATGGCACATTGTCAAACACTGGAAGGGGGCGCCACAATGGACCTCTTTTTAGGTACAAATGCTAGATTCAACTATCTCAACTAAGCAGGAAGTGGGCTCTTCTGCTAGGAATGCCAACCCTAATTCACTTTGTCTTGAAATATATACAGATTGTTTGTAGTCGCTACAGCAATGATATTTTCCTTGGGGTGCCAGGCTGTGTGAAGTATTTTCTTGTTGAAGTCTAGACTGTCAACACTTATTTCATCCTTCTTTCTCTTGCCACTTGCACAGACCTTGCGTGGCTTCAGAACCGTGCGAGGTTTATTGTTTTCTCGTGATGCTTCGAGGGTTATGTCTCGCTTTGTGTTCCTATCAAACATTCTGAAGAAATTATTGTAAGATCCAGTCATGACAACACTGTAAAAGGAGACGGAACATTCAGTCAAATAAGTGGGTAAGAGTTGGTTTTCGGGGGGAGAAGGGGTGTTAATCGAGGAATGAGGACATGTAATACCTTATCAAAAAAGAAAAGAAAAAAAGTTTGCCATATTTTTAGTAAACATGGCAACCATGCTAGGAGGAGTGATGAAATAGCACATTTCCTTCCTCTAATACAGCAATTTTCAACCTATGTGCCACAAGAGTTTTTAAAATATACAATACCTGACTAAATAGTCAGGGTTACTGCCCTCTTTTCCCTTAGACTATCAAATAAAAAAATGATAGCAGCCAGCTGGTGTGAATAAGTATTTTTTTTTTTTTAAATCAGATTGGCAATATATATATATTTTTTTGGTGTGCCACAGAATTTTGGTAATTAGTTTATGTGTGCCAGGAGATGAAAAAGGCTGAAAATTGCTGCTCTTATCAAATTACACTTGGCCCAGCCGACATGGCTCAGTGGTTGAGTGCCGACCCATGAATCAGAAGGTCATGGTTCCTCGTGTCAGGGCACATGCCAGGGTTGCTGTATCAATCCCCCGGGGGGGGGGGGGGGGGGGCGGTGGCGTGGAGGAGGCAGCCAATTAATGATTCTCATCATTGATGTTTCTCTCTCTTCCTCTCTGAAATAAATAAAAAATACATATTTAAAAAAAGAAAAGAAAAGGCATTTGGAACATTTCCCAAAGTATTAAAAAAATAATTAAACAAAACTTTCACGTAAATAGCCAAAAGTTAAAAATGACCCAAATGTCCTTCAACTGATGAATGAATAAACAAAACTATATTCATATAGTGAATTATTTTTTAAAAAATAAAACCACATTTGAATAAATTCAAATAAAAATCAATTACCTATCAGAACCATTCCAACAACATTCAAATTTGTCAAATATGCAGTCATTTTCATACAAAGAACAAAGTTTACTTCTGAGGTATTCATGCACCTGGGGAAAAACATATATTTATTCTTAGTTTACACCTCAAGATTTACTGATTAAATTTAGAAAACTGATTTAATAAGTCAGTATTATTAAAAAAAAAAAAAAAGGCATATGCAGACATATAACATACCTGTCAATCTTATTAAAATTTGATCCTCTTAGTAACAATAAAAGCATTTATTTAATACATTTACAAACATATCAGTCCCCTATAATGAACATACATTTTCTTTTGAACAATAGAGAAACTACTCTCTCTGGGCATGGTACATGCAATCTTTAAGCTCAACTAAAATATTCAGACCAGAAAATATTTGAAAATGGCACAGATAAGAGATTAAAGAATATTACAGGAATATTTGAATATGCTAACACTTGTCTTTCAGTCTACTAATTGCTGTTTTGACAATACTCAATGCTGTGCTTTACTTCCTTTTTAAATACAGTTTTCTGAGCATAAATAACTAAAGCCTATATTATAATTAAGTGTGTATGCTATGTACAGTATGATCATCCATCAGTTTGGTGATAAATTATATGGATATTGTACGTATGCATCATTGAAAAATTTGATTCTACTTGACATTACTTATGTGATATTAACAGCTAGTGAAAATATACTTTTAAAAAATATATAATTCTAAATAAATGGATCTAGTATTTAAAATATATCCTGATAGATCATACATTTAATTAACATTGTTAAATTACAAAGGAAAATTTCAAATAATTCTTTGGATCAGAAAGAAAAAAAGAACCTTAAACACTAGTGATGATAGAAAGGAGTCATCACTAAATATTTAGAAGTCATCACCTTCTAAGTATTAGAATTCTCTACAATTTGTGAAATAACAAAGTCATCTTAACTTTAAGTACAGTGAAATGATTGAGGCCACATCAGTAAGTAAAATTCGTTAACCTGGAAGAACTGCAATTCATGTAGGGTAGGATTAAAAGTGAAAAATGAACAAAAATCACAATTGCCCTTCAATAACACACAGCTCAGCAAGATGCCAAATTTACCACTCACCAACACATATGCTATGTTTGAGTATGATGTGACACTATTCTCAATCACTAATCTAACTCAGCATAGGCAGGAAAACTGACATTCAGGTAAAATTAGGTAAATCGTAACAATTCAGCAAAGTTTTAGAATGCACACACAGAGTTTCTCAAAAACAATGTATGAATGAGTATGAAGTTAAGGTTCAAATCAATTATTCTCAAAGGGATTGGGGAGTAATAGGAGGATCACTAGGAGACAAATCAGAATCTTGACAGTTATACAGATGTAATTTGAAACTGTGGCAAAATTGTATCCCTTTGCTTTTGCTTAAAAGATAACATGTATTTGGGAATTTCAAATACCATGAAGGATACCTAAGTGGTTTAGGTTTGTTAAACAGGATTAAAAAGTTTGAGAAATACCATTCCGATTTTACTGGTCATATACAACGTAAGGCAAATTTATCAAGACTGCATTCCTGAAACAGCGTTAAGTGTTTTCTACAATCTAGCGACCTAGGACCTAACATTGGCACCTGATGGCGGCCCTGTTCCCGGCTGTGCACATCTTCCTTCTCTTTTCTAGGAGAGCAGCAGGCTAGGACCAATGCTAGTGGCCCGCTGACAGTAAGAGAACCCAGAACCAACACCCACAAGAGACAGAAAGTCCTAAAGCTGCCTGCTGGGCTTTCAGGGCCTCTTCTTTTATTCCAAAGACAATAGTTACCAAGCCAGAGGTAAAATGTCATGTAGTCCCTTTCACCTGGTATGCCAAAGCTAAGCTCTAGTCCAGCGATTCCTGCACATACTTCAACTGCGACAACTCTACTAAGACTGACCGCTCTTCCCAATCCTCCCCCCTCCCACCCCAGACCTTAATAGCGTGCTCTTCCCTCCTCATTTTAAATAGACAAAAGCAGGGAAACTATTATCACTACTGAACCAAAACAGTAACATAATCACACTTTAACTGCAGAACTACTATAATGCCTATAAAAGTATATATAAATTTAACATAAGAAAAAGCATAATACTTGTGGATCAAAAGCCTCACTGTGAACAAGCACTGTTAGGCTTAACACAAAATAAAAAAGCCTTCTCTATAAAAACTTCAAAGTAAATAGGGTGTATGATCATTGAAAGAAAAAACTGCAAATACCTGATATGTTTCCACAGGCCTGTTTTCCATATTTAAGTCCCAAATTTTGACTGACAAGTAGTCTCTAGTCATCATATATCGACCACTATGGCTGAATTTTACATCAGAAATAGAGGAGATGATTTCAGAAAAGAAAGACCTATTACTGGGATCTTCAGGTTCTTCAAACACTAAAAACAAGCACACAAAAAAAGGGCAATTTGTATAATCTTCTGGCTTACACAAAACACTTGAAACAATTCACAAATTTCCTAAGAGGCAGCTAAAAATGGCAGCCTAATAAAAAACTGACAATTCTCTGGCTATAAGATAATTTCCCTGAAAGTTTCTTAGGAGATAAACACAACTAACACGTGAGAGATTTATACTTCCAGGGCCCATCGCTAATTTAGCAGAACCAGACGTACCCAGGACTTCAGACCGCAGTGCCCAGGTTTGTAGGCTCTGCATATACCTCACTGACTTTGCCTGTGATGTCAGCACAAAAACACACCCTCCTCGCCATTCAAATTCATACCAGCCTTTTATTTTTTACTGGCCAGGTAAAATTATTGCAACCCATTATTTAAAACGAAGTTTGTGTTTTTTTGTGTGTGTGTTTTTTTTAAAAGCAAAGGAAATCTCTTCTTAGAATAGGAAGCTCAAAATAGGAAGAAAAGGGAGGTGTGGGGAAGGAAGGAATTGCTCTATCTGAATATAGGGTTGGAGAACATCACCCCAAGTTCTCAAATATTAACAGTCCACTAAAAATATATTCACTGGGCCCTGGCTGGTGTGGCTCAGTGAACAGAGGTTCAGCCAGTGGACTGAAGGGTCCTGGGTTCAATCCCCAGTGGGGAGGGGCATGCAGGAGGCAGCTCTCACCATTGATGTTTCTCTCTCTCTTCCCCTCTATGAAATCAATCACACACACACACACACACACACACACACACACACACACACGAGGCTCAGTGCATGAATTTGTGCACAAAGTGGGGTCCCTTGGCCTGGCTGGCAGGCCACACAGAGGGACTGTGGGAGGTTGGCTGGCCAGTGGAGTGGGAGAGGGGGGAGGGAGGAAGGAGGAAGGAGAAAGATGGGGATCAGCTAGGGGGAGGGGCCATAGGAGATCAGCTGTGGGATCACACTGACCACCAGGGGGCAGCTCCTGCTTTAAGTGTCTGCCCCCTTTTGATCAGTGCATGTCATAGCAATTGGTCCACCCGTTGTTTGGTCATTTAGGCATATATCTCCACTGAAATATCAAGAGACATACCCTGATAAAGCCTTCTTTGTTTTACTAGTAGAATAGCTTCATGTAGAATCAGTTTTCCAAAGGGTACAGGCAGCCCTGAGCATACAGGTTTAACTAAGCCTTGTAAACCTATGTACATGTGATCACCATGTCTGAGGCTAAAGATTTTAGACAAACAGAAAATGATATTTTTTTTAAAAAGACACAAATAACTTACATTTAGAATGCCTATCACAGAGGGCAGATGCCCTCATGTCACATAACCGAATAGTTCCTTTACTGCTGCTGTACACAAACGTGTTACAGCTGTTTGGATGGAACTCTGCTGCTGTAATCACCTCTGTTAGCTCTTCCATGTTGGCAGGCTTGATATCCACAATATCTGGACAGCATTTTATTAAGGAATTTCCACTTAGAAAAAAGGGCAAATGTAATTTTACATTTTTCAAAGCACAAATATTCTGAATTGCATTCTAGACCTTATCTGATCCTTTTAATACCCACAAAAAAATTCTTAGAAGAAAACCCGGGCAAATCTTAAATCATTTTAGAATGCAGAGGTCTGTTTTTCTGAATGTGATACGAATCCCAGAAGCCATAAAGAATAGACTGATGTAAGCTTATCTTTCTAAATATTAAGAAATTTAGTGCATATTCCAAACACAACATAACAAAACTCTTCAAGGGGAGCAAAAAAGGGAAAACTATTTGCACCACAAAGGATGGAGCTGATTTACATAAAAGTGCTTTAAAAACAGCCCGAAGATGGTTCAGTGGTCAAGGTTCAATTTCTGGTCAGAGTACATGCCTGGGTTTTGGGCTCGATCCCAGTGTGGGGTGTGTAGGAGGCAGCTGATCAATGATTCTCTCATCATTGATGTTTCTATCTCTCTCTCCCTTCCTCTCTGAAATAAATAAAAATTATATTAATAACAAAACAAAGAAAAACAACAAAAGATACAAATCTAATGAAAAAAATTAGAAAAGAAAAAATAAACAAAAGTAAAAAAAAGTTCATGCTGAAACCGGTTTGGCTCAGTGGACAGAGTATTGGCCTGTGGACTGAAAGGTCCCAGGTTCGCTTCCGGTCAAGGGCATGTACCTTGGTTGCGGGCACATCCCCAGTAGGGGGTGTGCAGGAGGCAGCTGGTCCGATGTCTCTCATCCATGTTTCTAACTCTTTATCTCCCTTCCTCTCTGTAAAAAAAAATCAATAATAATAAAAAAATGTTCATTTACTCATGATGAAAGAAATGCTAATCAAAACAACAAAAGAAGACTTTTACTAGGTAGACTGGTAAAGGTATAGGTACACTGGTTGTTTTATACACTATTAACAGATTATGAATTCTAATTACAGTGTCAATTTTTTCAAATGATATGTACTTGGAAATATATAAGTAGTAGTAAAAGTTGCTAGCATTTCACCTTAAAAAACAAAAACAAAAAATCAGCTTTATGGAAATCTAATTTACATACATACAATTCACCCATTTCAAATGCGTAATTCCATATAGCTAACATTTTATTTTTAAAACATACTTAAAATGAGTATATTTATATACACCTCTTTCTCACACTCTCTCTATCTACCTATAGTATATGTGTATGCCAGGCATATATATTTATACATCACATACTTGTATGTGCACAGAAAATATTCAGGATAATATAAACAATAAAAGTGGGATTTGAAGAAACATTTATATTGATTTAATACCACCCCCGGCAAAAAAAAAAACAGAAGAGAGAAACCAAACGGATACTAAAACTCCTATCTGTAATTTCCAGATGCCAAAGATTAATCCTCAAATCATCTGCAGATAAATACGTTTCATAATCACTATTAATGGAAATTGAGTTGATGTGATATGTATGAGCATTGGCAAATATTCTTCGTGGACTGGCCTCAACCATTAGATCCATGGGCCTAAAGACTGGCACCTGTTAATAAGACACATGAAAAAGTCATTACAAATGTTCATTGTATACAATAGCACCTAAGATTCAGAGCACTTCATTTCTAGTTTCTGAGGAACTATAAAACAGTACAACATTACACAAATTTAGTTTTAAAAAGTAACTGATATTAATCTTATAAAGTACTGAAATGGGAAGAAAACTGAACAATCTGAATAATTTATTTTCTTTTACAGGTAGCAATACTATTAAGATTTGCCATTCTTCCTAGTTCCAATCTTTGCTTAAAAGACTTGCAGCCCAGCGGGTTTGGCTCAGTGGACAGAGTTTGCAGATCGAAGGGTTCCAGTCAAGGGCACAGACCTTGGTTGCAGGCTCCCTGGCCCAGGGGCTTGTGCAGGAGGCAACCAATCTATGTGTGTTTCTCTCTGTTTTTCTCTCTTTTTTCTATTCTCCCTAAAAAAAAAAAAACAATGGAAAAATATCCTCGGGTGAAGATTAACAAAAAAGACCCGCAAAGCTAATAAAATGTTTATGGATTAAAGTGGTTAAAAAAGAAATTAGCCCAGTGTGTCTAATTCTTGGTGCTTTTTTGTTTTTGTTTGTTTTTAAGCTGCAACGAGATTTGGTCCATTTCTACTTTTTTCATCGCCAAGAAAATAATCTTGAAATTTAAGTTTGTAATAGTTGACATTCAAACCACAAGAGCGATGGAGAATATGGTATAGAACCTATCAATCTTGTCTAGAATCCTGGTTCTGCCCTTGGCCACAGTGTAACTTCTATGTTTGAAATGAGTTTTTAATGTCTTATCTAGTTATGGAATTGCTGAGACGGGGCAAATTGTAATTATTCCTATTTAAGTTCTGCTCAGGATCTAAAATATATAATATGAATACAAAACGCCGGTTTGGCTCAGTTGGTTGGGTGTTGTCCCATGCACCAAAAAGGCACATGCCCGGGTTTGCAGGCTTGATCCCCTCGATCAATGGTCCCCTTTCACTTTGATGTTTCTCTTTCTCTCTACCTCTCTTTAAAAATCAATAAAAATATTTAAAACTCACCCACATACATTATGTACTTACTCGTAGTGTAGTGACTGTAGTAGGATCTCTATACCTTCCATCTTCCTCTTTCAAGTTATACCCTTCTGGTCTTTTGTCCCTTTCACTGATTTTCCATAGCTTTATAGTTTTATCTGGGGAGACAAAGAATAAAGTCCTCAAAAAAGGAGTATTACTTATAAGAAAAAACAACAACACTTTTAAGGTATATTTAAACATGCCCTTTCATATTTCATCTAAAAGATCCCAAGAATTCCCCGGCCAGGTGGCTCAGTTGGCTGGAGCGTCACCCTGTACATCAAAAGGCTGTGGATTCCATCCCAAGGTGGCATATACAGGAGGCAACCAATCGAGATCGCCGTCTGTCTCTTCCTTCCTTTCTCTCTAAAATCAGTAAAAGCATAACCTCAGGTAAGGACTTTTTTTTAAAAAAGGAAAGAAAATATCCCAAGAATAAAATCCCTTATTACCTGGGAAAAACAGTATAGATATTGCACTTTTATGTTAATCCAATTCATAAAATTGCATTTGCTATTAGAATCAAGTCATAGCCAGGTCCTTACTGTTTAAAACTAAATAAAGCCAGAGGGGGAAAAGTTATATGGGTATATAAATACATATATGTCTATACATACATGAAAAAATATATCTTTATATGCTCAATACTTAATTTTCCAACAGAGAACAAACAACAAAAATGGTTAAGATAGCCTAATTACTACTGCAGTAGCAGATCCCACAAATTCCTTTACAGACCTGGTCACCTGTTTAAATCTATATTTCCCCATTGTATTAGCAATTCATTAGTAGTCAGATTTGACTGATTCAAGTCCTTCAAGACAAGATTCTTATGTATCAAGAATATATAAAATAATCTTCTATTTTGGAATTAAGTTGATTTCCAGAGAAGTTACAAAGACAGCACATGTTTCCATACACTATTCACAGTTTCTTCTGTTAACATTTTAGGCAACCTGGTGCATTCCTTAAAACTAAGAAATTAATGTTGTACTGGTACATTCCCACTAACCAAACTCCAGACTTCACTCAGATTCCACCAGGTTTCCTATTAACTTCCCTTCTGTTTCAGGATCTCACCCAGGACCCAAACAACACTTTAGTCATCAAGTCTCAGTCTTTGCAATTTAACAATTCCTCAGACTTTATTTTTATACAGTTCTGAGCAGTGGTGAGATATTTTGTAGGATGTCCCTCAAAAGGGTAGGTTAGCTGTTTTCTTATGATCAAAATAATCATGGGTTTTTAGGAAGAGCACTAAAGTGAAAGCATACATACTGTCAACAGGACATTTCTGCTTTAATTACTTGGTTAAGGCAGATGTGCCAAGTTTCTCCACTGCAGTTACAATTCTTCACCTTCCCATACTCTATTTTTTGGAAGTGAGTCACTAAGTCCAGTCCACACTTAAAGGGAGAACTAAGTTACACTTCTTGTAGGAAGAAGTATCCACCCACATACTATTTCTAATCCCATCTAATCTAATAGAGAAATGTGCAAATTTGTCCATTACAGTGTCACGGGTCATGACTGGATCACCAGGCTGCATCCTTGCCCCTCTGCTCAGGCAGCTGCAAGGACCAGGGTGGGATAGGATACAATAGGAGGGAAAGAAAACTGTGCGGAAGGGGTGGCAACCGGGGATGGGGGTGCGGGCATGCCAGAGCAGGTGCACCCTGCAAGGGGTGGGTGCAGACATGGGAGGAGGGCAGTGGCGGCCACAGGCTGGGAGGTGCCCATGAGTCCAGGACAGAGTGGAGAACGATCCGAGGCCTGCTGGATAGAGGCGCTCCTGTTTCACAGCAGCAGTGCCCGGGCCTTGTGGGCCTCGGCCACCCTTGCTGGGCCTGGCATCCCAGGCAGAGAATGGGAGCAGGATAGTGGCAGGAGGGCTGGAGGGTTAATGCCCCCTCCCGCAATGGAAGCTTTAAGAAGGAAAGGAGGGAGGAAAGAACTTTATAAAGGAGTCAGTAGAGAGCAGAGTTAAAGAAGAGGATGTGTGAGTGAACTGTAGGTGCTATAATGAAAATCAAGTATAGTTATGTACTGGGGACTGATTTTAAAAATAGGAGTCAGAAAAGAAAAATGACAGTGATTAGGCAAGTAGATAGATATTAAAACAGTGGAAGTAAGTAGAGAGGAATGTGAATGAGAGAAAGATAGATGGAAGAAAAATTTAAAAGGAAGCTGGTAGAGCTTAAAGGAGAATATGAAGAAGGAAGAAATGGGGGAGGGAGCAAAGCAGATCTGAGGAAAGAAGTGAAGAAAAAAATCAAGGAGGGAAGGAAGGAAAAGGGGAGGGAAAATAGGAGTAAAGATAGAAGAAAAAAGGAATGTGGAGAGGGAGGGAGGGTAGAATAAAGATGGGAAGAAGGATGATGGAACAGAAGTAGGAAATAAAGAGGAAAGAAAAGTTTACAAATGATGAGTCAGTAGGAAAAAGTGTTACATAAAGGAGAGAGAAAATTTGTGTGTCAGGGAGAAACCAATAAAGAAATCAAATACAATTGTGTGTGAAGGGGATAAGTTTAAAAAAAATAGGGGTGACCAGGCCAGCAGGGGAAGGCAGTTAGGGGTGACCAGGATGTCAGGGGAGGGGAGTTAGAGGAATCAGGCCAACAGGCAGAGTGGTTAGGGCAGGCAGGTGAGCGGTTAGAAGCCAGAGGTCCCGGACTGCGAGAAAAATGTCCAACTGCCAGTTTAGGCCCATCCTGCTTAGACATCCTCCAAGGGCTCCCAGATTGGAGAAGGTGCAGGTCAGAAATTTTGTACAACAGGCCTCTAGTCCTATATAATAAAAGGATAATATGCAAATTGACCCCAACGGCGGAATGACCAGAACCTGGAACGACTGCTCAACCAGTCACTATGAGGCACACTGACCACCTCTTGGTTTTTATCTCTGGCTGGCAGACTCTGATTGCTTGATGGCTAATGGAGAACCGGGGATGGGTGTAGGGGGATGTGAGTGGCGCCAGACCAAGGCCCCTGCCCCACCAGTTGCCTCACACACAAAGGGCAACCCATGGCAGGGGCAGGAATGGCCAACCACTCAGTTCCTCCCTCTGGCCAGCAGGCTCCAATCACCCGATGGCGAATGGGGAACCAGGGGTGGGTGGCAGCTGGGGGGGGGGGGCTGGCTTTGGTAGCCAGGGAAGATGGCTCTGAACCCAGGCCAGGCCTAGGGACCATAACCATGCACGAATTTCATGTGCCAGGCCTCTACTCCTCCTATAAGAAGCGTCCCTTCTCTTCCACTTATTTGTTCAAACAATCATTCCTTTAAATCACTATGGATGCATGCATATTTGTTTAATATTTTTTATAAAATTGCATTCATATAACACTATCACATTCTTAATGGTCTTTCATAAGCAAATGAACATAATATAATTTTAAAAAATAGTGTATAAAGACACTTCATAAAACTCTGTCATACAGAGGGGTAGCAGGGACTCCTCTAGCCTGGCCACCTCTGCCCGGTGGAGAAAAGCATGCCAGCTGCCTCCTGTGGATGCCCTCTGCAAAGATGAAGTCTAAGTAGGAAAACAACAAAAAACTCACCCAGCTAACTCTTTATTTGTAATCTAAAGTTTCATTTAAACCTTATGTAATCATGTTTCTAGTTATTTGCAATTCAGTTATGTGTTTTCTATGTGCTATTTAATTTATGTAATTTATATACATCATTATATTCTCTAGAATACTTAATTTCCAAATATGTAATATAAATGAATCAAGCCTAAATTCTATATTTTGGGAGAAATTATCATTTGAAGATGATGAGGATGGCCCAACTGGCATGGCTCAGTGGCTGAGCATCAAACTCTGAATTAGGAGGTTGTGATTCAATTCCTGGTCAAGACACATGCCTGGGTTGTGGGCTCAATCCCCAGTGTGAGGCATGCAGGGGGCAGCCGACTAATGATTCTCTTTCATCATTAATATGTCTATCTCTACCCCTCTTCTTCAGCTCTGAAATAAATTAAAAAAGAAAATTTTAAAAATGATGAGGATGCCTGCCATGACTGTCTCATGGCCTGTTGAAATTCATCTACCTAAGAGGTCCAAATACCAGATAAAGAAATTACAATATACTTATTAAACTTTCAAATGAGATGAAATTCATCTGTGGTTCCCAATATGCTATCAGAAGAAAATACTAAAAGTTATAAAAAAATATTAGGTAAGGAGGAGGATCCAAGATGGCTGCTCGGGTAGACATCTAGCCGCGGCAGCACACAACAAAAAATGTAGAGTGGACATTGCTCAGAGCTACAGGTAGTCGACTGACTGAAATTTCTACAACAAGAAGGAAAGAGAAAACCAGAAAGAAAATCAGAGGAGCTGAAAAAAAGCCTAAGGTACGGAGACATGCTGCGCGCGTGCCCGCCCGCACGCGCGCACGGAGAGGTCGCAGCCGGAGAGGAGGAGAGGGCGGGGAGCCGCCTTTCCCTCCCTAGCAGGAAGGAAATAAAACCCCCAGCCTGGGCTGAACCCCCGAACCGGCAGCGCTGAGCCCCCCCGAACCAGCAGCGCTGAGCCCCAGTTATGGGCCAGACCCTGGGGACCCAGGCTCCGGTGGGAGGAGACGGGGCCGTGAGGCGGAAAAACGGCGAAAGGCAGGGCCCCGGGAGTCGCGCGCAATGCGCGCAGAGGACTGAATGTTGACTCTGATGCTGGGTTGCCCTAGCCGGAAGAAACAAGGCCTCCGGCAGCGCTGAGCCTCAGTCCGGACTGCTCCGAACCCCAGTTCTGGGCCAATCCCTGGGGACCCAGGCTCAGGCAGAGGGAGACGGGGCTGTGAGGTGGAGTCCGGGGAGAGCGGCGAAAGGCCGGGCCCCCGGGACTCGCGCAAACTGCGCGCAGAGGACAGTCTGTTGACTCTGATGCTGGACTTCTCTAGTGGGAAGGAGAAAAAAAAAGCTCTAGGCTGGGGGAACGCGGAGGGGAGCAGAAGCCCCTGCCGGACTCCAGCCAACCGGGCACCAGCAAGGAGGCGGGCCACGGGGCCCCTGGGGGCGTGGGTGCCCCTGAGCCTTTGACCACTGAGCTCGGGCAATGGAGCCAAGGCCGGGGGCTGCTTCCTGGGCGGCGCCATCCCGGCAACAGGCTG